TAATTTTCCATCGGTCATCAGTTGCATTCCACAAATGCTTGTCAGCGTAAGTCAGGTGCAGGAATTAGGGAGGGGTAGGAAGTATTCAATGGAACACTTTAATCTTTTGTTAACAGACAATTACTCTGTAAAGGTACTTCCCTCTGGCTAGGCGGGTGGGCTGCCCTGAGTAAATTTAACTTTTATGGTTAGCCTTTTCCTTTGTCTCAAGGGCATGTGTGCTCGCAGTCACGTAGTCAGAAGGCCAAGAAATGATTGACAGACTCCATTTTGTTCAAGGTTCTAGCAGTCCCCAACACCTAAGTAGATCTTAAAATGATTGTAAACTTTATCACTGTTTTAACCGTCAAATTGTAACTATAAATCACCATTGTAGCAAAGAAAGACTGGTGGTAAAATGCTATGGCCCAGATCGGGGGATGGGCAGGTGACAGAGAGGCGCTATGTCAGTGGGGGTCCTAGGAATGGTAACAGTGTCAGTAGGCATTCTGACTTCATGCTGAGTTCAAAGTGCCTTAGCCCATGGCAATCCCGATAGCCATAAAGCATTATTACAGATGATTCTAAGGTTGGGGCACTTTGTTGACGGGCAACCTGTGGGGCAGACCCCTCCCACCTAAGACAGGGGTTCAAGGTCCCCCGAGGACGGGTAAGGGAGGGTGACCCCACTTGACCTAAGCCAGGAGTGCCTCATTTAAAAATAAAAAGGGGTGAATTGTGGGGACACCAGACCTTGAGCAGAAACCCACTTCCCCTTCGGCCTGGGAGCAGGCATCTATGTAATGTTTACTGAAAACAATTCAGTGCTTTAAAGCTCTTGATAGGGCTCAGATAAGGGCTCGCTCATTGAAACGCCATGACTTTGACACCCCCTACGGCTAGATGCTTCTTCCTGTCCCCTCTGCTGTTTCTCCCCGATTCTGGGGCCAGAGATTAAACCACCAGCCAGGAGGGTGAGAAGTCTGGGAGAGTTGTTGGAGAATTGTATGTAGATGGATGGCAGAAGTCCTTAAAAAGGGAAGCGTTTTTTCTTGGAGGGACTTCTCTTCTCCTAAGCCGACTTGGGAAGCATAAAGTTTTCTTAAAGCAGCCGACTGGTCTCTCTGTCATCTATCCCGACCACCTCGCTACATTCTTGGATGCAGGCTGCACAGCAGGTGCGACATGTCATGATTCGTCTGCTGAAATGAAACTTCCTTAATTGAAATCTCTGTAACAGAACAACTCCAGCCAATCCTTGAACTAAAAAGGTTAAAAAGTCCTGTATGCCCCTCATCATTCCTCCATTGGAGCTACAGTCATGGGGTATAGCCTATCTACTCCTTGTAACTTTGTAAATGCAAGGTGGAGAGGCCAGGGTTTTGGCCAAAAGTTTTAGAGATGACTCACAAAATAAAACTTAAATGTAAACAAAATTTTCTTTTCCATATACCTTTGCTTTTTCTTTTTCTTTAATACCAGTACCTCATTTACTGTTACCAATTTTTTTTGATTCATCCATTTGTTTTTTGTTTTTTTTTTCGAGACAGGGTTTCTCTGTATTGTTTGGAGGCTGTCCTGGAACTTGCTCTCTAGACCAGGCTGGCAAGAGATCTGCCTGTCTGTGTCTCCCGAGTACTGGGATTAAAGGCGTGTGCCACCAACGCCCGGCTATTCACTCATTTTCAATCCATCCTCCAATCCAGGATGTTCCCTCAGCCAAAAAGCCTTAAGATTTACACAATCCACTCTCAAACTGAGGGTAATCTCTCAGGTTCACCTCTTTCCTGACCTTGGTGTCAGGCTGAGGCCTAGAGATTTAATGTAATCCACCCTCCAACTGAGGGCAACCTCTCAATTTTACTTTCTTACTGGAGATTTAATCCAACTGAGGGCGATCTCTCAGGGTCCCCTTACTTTCCTGACCTTTGTCAGGCAAAGGCCTGGAGATTTAATCCAATCCACCCTCCAACTGAGGGAGATCTCTCAGGGTCCCCTTACTTTCCTGACCTTTGTTAGGCGAAGGCCTGGAGATTTAATCCGGTATCCCTAGCTTGGTACCCCCTTTTAACACATCCGCATAGCCTTACTGGCCAGCTTTTTTAGATCTCTCAGTTCCCCTTTACTTTCCTGACCTCAGTGGATCAGGTGAAGAAAGACTGGAGATTTTTTATTTTATTTCATTTTTTACCTTTTTTTCTTTTTTCTTTTTTGAGACTGGGTTTCTCTCTATCCTTTGGAGGCTGTCCTGGAACTCTATAGACAAGGATGGCCTCGATCCTACCTACCTCTGCCTCCGGAGTGTTGGGATTAAAGGTGTGTGCCACCAACACCTGGCTCTCTGAAAATCATGGCGAACATCCTCCCAATCTGGGACATTTAAGCCTCCCCCAATAATGAACCATGGACTCGCACGTTCAATCCATTTTAGAAAGCCTTCCATGGTTGTAGTCCCATTTTTCAAGTAACTTTTTTATGTGATACTGTAAACTTCCAGGGACTATTTCCCATCGTTTTTTTCCCTATTTTCCCCCATCTGTCCCTGGCTGGCAAAAGGGACTACCCCGTCCACTTACCTCGCTTTCACATCTCGGTGGGACCTAAAATTGCCGCACCCGCTGCACAGCCTGTATCTGAGAATGTGGTGAGGGTGTCAGGATTGATGACACAGAGACCTAAAGGCTCCTCAAGAAGGTTCTCCTTTATTCCTACTCTGGCTGGTTATTATATACCCTGACACCAGAAGTGCAGAAGTGGAGGTGGGTTGGTCTGAAGAGGCGGTTAGTCTTTGGAAAAGGTTGAGGACAGGGCAGTTCCCATGGGCAAGCCCTTTTCAGGAACTTACTGCCCCGGGCATTGTATTGTTTTTAGTAAACATGTTTTTAGTAAACATTGTCTTACAGCTGCCTACTCCCAGGCCGATGGGGAAGTGGGTCTCTGCTCAAGGTCTGCTGTCCCCACACACATGCACATTTTAACTAGTTTTAAAAATTTAAGATGACTGCAGGAGACTCCAGTCTTCTTCTTCCACTTCCCCATCCCAATATCATGGTACCATATCGGGAGGTCTTTTGGAGCCCAGATTATGAGTTTCTCTTCCTCAAGGTGGTGTTTCTGAAAGTTGTCAAAAGTAAGGTCTGCTTTAAAAGATGCTGAGTGAGATTCAGGAAGGTGGGAGAGGATGAAACTGACTAATATATCCCAAAATGATTGGTGATCCAGGACAAAAAAGCACAACTCATCCAAATACAGGATGATAGTTTGTATAACAGAGATACCATGTGCCAGATTGTGTATGCCTGTAAAAGGCAATATGCTAGTCTATGCAGCATATGCACATGAACTGTCGAAGTACGGCGTGAAGATTGGCTTGACAAATTACGCTGCAGCCTATTGTACTGTCCCAAAGGCTTCTCAATAGTTTGGCAATGGGCAAGATCTATGCAGGGCCAAATTGAGATGAACGCAATGTGGAAAGCATTGATGATCAGCCTGGTGCCTTCACTGCAACTGGCAATAAAGTTTTTGGGGTCCTGAAGGGAGATGCGGATGAAGGCTTATCTATTCCCCTCCTGAAAGCAGGTTTCATGTGGACGTACACCAAAAGTACAGCATGAGTCAAAATGTTGCAAACATGAAGAAACAGGTTTCTCAGTACAGAAAGAGCACCATAACTCCAAACAGGATGGAGGTAAGAAGACCGAGTTGCTCAAAAGAAGGCAAGCTCTCTTAGAGCTCAGGAATGTGCTGCTGAGAGCTAAAGCAATTTTTATGAAGATTTTTTTCCATAAAGACAATAAACTTAACTATCAAGCAGCCAATAAAGAAAATAAATATTAAGATGTACATTGCTAAGAGCTTATGACTGAAACTTGCCCCATAAACATTGTATTTGTGGGGAGGTAATATAAAATGTTTTCTGGTCTGATATTTGGGAACTAACAATTTCTTGTGACATATAACTATCTTTCCTCTCTTATTAGCATTTCCACTTTCTTTCTTACATTCTTTTCACTTATTATTTTGAGACAGGGTCTCTCTATATAGCTTTGGTCTTCCCAGAATTATCTGTGTAGATCATGCTGGCCTACATGGTCTACTGGCCTGTCTTCCTGCCGGAATTAATGGGCTGTGTCACCATGCCAGGCCTCTGCTTTATTTTCCACAGTGGTATCAAAGAGAAAATTTCAAACTTAATCAAATTTAATCAATTTCTCGATTTCTAGTCATACGACCAAGGTTCCTAACAAACCACTAAGGTGCACATGGCCTATCAATATTATTGTAATTTTCCTCCTCAACCAATGCATTCTCAACGCACAGCTCTGTTTACTAATTGGCTCACACCCACCAAGCCAATTAAGAGAGAAGTAAAAGATACTCGGGTTCTACGGGCTGCACATATGCACTTCGGATTAATGTGGCAAGGGATATTATTTCTGATCCTCGTGGCGTAATCTCAATTACAAGGGTGTAGATCCCAAATTAGGTGCAAGGGACCAGCTGTCACCTATTGCCTATCGACGTGACAATCTTAGTCTGTACTCTCTGTCCTGAGCTGGCTAGACACGCCCTTACATACAAGTATTCCAGACATTTTAGTACGCTTTTTCCTGGAGGTCACCAGCGCTGGGTAATAAATCAAGGCAAGGGCTCCTGGCTCTCAGTCTGTATATGCCTACACATGACGGTGTCTTCTCCTGCCGACGCGGTGGGCTACTTTCGTGTTTCACCACTCCCAGATTCTCGAACACTCTCTGCATTTCCAGAGAGCCCCCCTCAGCCAGCCAGATTCACTCCTGAAAACCCGGATTAGGTTCCCAGAGAGCGACAGCCCCTCCACGGCGCCCTCAGTACTCGGTCCTTGGGGCTGCAGCCTCTTTCTTTCACGGGACTGAGGTTCCGCCTTCGATGAGGCTTCTGGCCCCTAACAACGGCGTCTCTCTCGCCCCCGTTTTACCTCGAAACCGCGCTGACCGCCAGCCGCGGCTCTAACGGGCCCGGGCACCGCTCGCCGTCGGGGAAGGGAAGCGAAGCGCTCCGGCGGCCCAGTCTCGCGCGGAGACCAACTCTCGCGTTGTTTCCCAGGTCCCAGCATCCTCTGCGCGAGGCGGACCATCACTTCCCTCCGCCTCGGTGGGCGCCCCCGGCGAGCGTCCGCCCGTCTCTGGCTGCTTCTGCGTGGAAGATGGCGGCGCCCGAGCCGCCGCTGCCGCTGCCGCGGGGAGGCCCAGGCCCCGCTTCGCTCTCGCCGCCCCGGGGAGAGCGCACCCTCCTCGTCAGGCACCTGCCTGCCGAGCTGACGGCCGAGGAGAAGGAGGACTTGCTGAAATACTTCGGGGCGCAGTCGGTGCGCGTCCTGTCGGATAAGGGGCGCCTGGTAAGCGCGCACACTTCCCGGGGGTCGGGGGCGGGGCACCGGGCGGGCCGGGAAGGGGCAGGCGCTCTGCGCGTGCGCGGCGTGCCCCGATCACCGCCTGCGGCAAAGGAGAAGCCGGGCGGCTGAGTGACTCAGTGCTGCGTTCTGCGACTTTTGGGCACCCACCCCGGGAATGCAGAACTCGCTAGACATGGAAATATTTCTGCTGGATTGTTACAGGCCTATGAAAAAAGAACTTTCGTAACTGCGTTATTTCAGAAAACTAGACATGTTTTTGACAGTCATAAAACTTTTTCCCTATGGAATCTTTCAGGGAACGGGTATTTTTAGTTGAAAGCCTTGCGGGATGCTCAGTTTTGTTTTTTGTTTTTTCTTTTGCGCGAATGTTTGATTTTTCTAACTTTGTACAGTCTGTGATGGAGCCAGATACCAATGGTTCCAAAGTTTCAGGGGACTCTAAATATATAGACAAAATTGAGAATTGCTGATTTAGAAGACCAGTTTGGAGCACTCACAGTGTTATGTACTTCAACAAATGGAAATAAAAGATATTCTCTTGCTCAATCTAAATATGCTAAGATCATCTTGGGTCAGATTGGACAGTTTTATACTTCTAATAAAGCATTTAAACTTACCAAACTATAACTTACCAGTAATATAATTCCTCTCACCTTTGCAGGGTGGCTTTAAAAATACTCCTAATTTTAGTTAAAAACTAGACTCATACTGTTGAAACAAATTCTAAAAATAAAGAAGAAAGAGAACATTCAGCTGGAGGGGTGCTTTCACTGTTAATGAATACTTTTACACTTTGTCTTGGAATGTACACAATGAAAATTAATTTTTTTGGGTGTGATTAAAAAGAGGGTATTCCATATGTTTAAATGATTTAAGATTGATCCCTTTTGAAAAGGTGACATGTTTTAAGCTCTTTTTTGCTTTTAATTGTGTGTGTGTGTGTGTGTGTGTGTGTCTGTCTGTCTGTCTGTCTGTCTGTGTGCATAGTGTAGTGTAGTGTACTTGTCCTTGGAGGCTAGAGTGCGGATTTTCTAGAACTAAAGTTACAGGTAGGTGGTTATGAAGCTGCCTGACATGGATATTGGGATACCAGCCTAGGTTGTTGGGTAGAACCCTATCCACTTTTACCACGGATCTACCTCTCTAGCCCCCAAATAGAGATAATTTTAAAGTTGTTGTCTGTTGAGCTGTTTGCTATTATAAAACATATTGTGTTTGTCCTTACCCATTTATGTTCAAAGGCTGAAGAGCTTTCAAGCCCAAGAAGTCTGACCCAAGAAAGATTCTGAACTACTAGACTGAAACTAGCATAATACATAAAACAGTTAAATAGTCTAAAATTTCCATCCTTTCCTATAATCTTACTAATATATTAAATTCTATTCAAATGTTACTTTTTATGAGAAATTTAAATCATACTGGAAATAATATGTACCTTAATTTTATTTCAGAAACATACAGCATTTGCTACTTTTCCTAATGAAAAGGCAGCAGTAAAGGTATGTCTTTTTCTTAATTTTAAAACTTTCAGAGATATCTTACAATAGAAGTGGAATGTAAGAGTAAACTGTCATTTTTCAAAGTAAAAATCATTTGTGTTCCAAGAGTTTCTCTAAAAGGTTACAGTTGACTTGGCAGATGTTTGAGCTTGTCCAATGCTTAGATACTGAAATATAAGAATCATAGATTATTAAGCAAGGTAAGAATAACATGTATAATTTTTTAAAGAAATTCTAAAGGATATTAGATAAGTATCTCTAGTGCTTATGGTATATTTTTTATATTAAAAGATATAAACCTAAGGAATAATTTATTAAAAACTATTACCTTTGGACTAGGCCTCAAATGAGTCATTTAATTTTGAGAAGAAAACAGAAGAATTTGTCCTTTTAGGCTTAGGAACCCACAACCTTGGGCCCAGACAATTATATGTCAGGCAGGAGCTAAAGGCAGTGTTAGAAATAGGACTCAAAAATTGAGCCTATATTTAAGTAGAAGAGAGGTATTGAATTTTGTATAGTAGGTACCTAAAAGAATTAATACTTTTGAGAAGGCTAAAAATAAGATTAGACCCATGAAAAATATCTGATAGGGCTGATACTTAAATATTGTATTGGATGTAGAGAAAAATTGGAGATAGGAAGACTATATGGGAAGCTATTTTAGAGGCAGAGGCAAGAGTGTAAATCTGAAGAGGACAACAAAAAAATAAAGGGAGAGAAGTACATGTATACTTTGGAGAGAAATTGTTTATGGGTCTTAAGTTATAGAAGTAATTCAATATAGTGTTACATAGAATACACAGGGTCCTGAGTTAGAATCCCAGTTCTACAGAAATAAAGTTTGTAGGTCTTAGTTATATGGGATTTGACAGCAAAAGAGTAGTTCGGGATCTTAAATTTTTTTTTTAATATTTTATTTTTTTATTATGTATGCAGTCTTCTGCCTGCGTGCCAGCAGAGGGCATCAGATCTCATTCAAGGTGGTTGTGAGCCATCATGTGGTTGCTTGGAATTGAACTCAGGACCTCTGGAAGAACAGTCAGTGCTCTTAACCTCTGAGCCATCTCTCCAGCCCCTTAAATGTTTTTGTATATTTTTAATTATTGTTATGTATTTGCATATTTGCCACTACACACATGTGGAGGTCAGAGGACAGGAGTTGGTTTCTCCTTCCACGGTGTGTGTCTTATTAGTCTTGGCAGCCTTAATCCCCATGAGCTATCTCTCCAGCCCATGTTCAAGATCTATGGACTGAACAGCTTATATGACAGAGGCATAGGGGGTCTTTGCACAGACATGTAATGAATTCTTATGTTATCTGTTAATTTTGAGGAGTCTTTGGAGTAATTCTGTGGAAATTGTGAGCACTGTAAAATATTTCTTTGAGCATAGCAAGGTTGAGAAAGTTTCTTCAAATATGCAAATAGCTATGGTGGTCCAAAGGAAGATTAGTGAAGTGATAAAAACAAAACAAAAAACCTAGAGAAGTGTATTTTAAAGGAAGGAAGATAAAGGAACTGCAAAACTAAAAAACATGCTATATTGATGCAGAAAAAAAAAATTGGGGAGAGACATACTAAAAAGTGAGCATAGTCTTACCGATCAGGGTTCATTAGGCATATTTTAGAAACAGAGTCTCACAATGTCATCTTGATTGGTCTAGAGCTCACTGTGTAGACCAGGCTGGCATCCAACTCAGAGATCTACCTTGCCATTGCCTCTGTGTTTCCATTCTGAGTTTTGGGGTTAGACCACACCCTGCCCATACTCTTCATAAAATAGGAAAAAAGTAGAAATAATGTTTACTTTTCATAAAATAGGGGAAAAATAGAAATACCCAAATCTTTATCAAGGAGGAATACTGTAATTTTAAAAATATGGATCATCATTAATGTTGAATGATCAAAAAACTTGAATGTTCTGATGTTTGACATGCTGTCTATCACAAGTGAAAAGTTTCATGCCATATCTCAGTTAACAGGCCACAGTCAAACTGCACACATAAAAAAATAATTGTATAAATTTCAGATAACGGGGGGGGCTGGGGGGAGGGCACGGGAGGAGGGGAGGGAATGGGAAAAAAAAAAGAACTTGTTTACCAGCTCTTCATTTACTACTTAAAAGATTGCTTCCTATAGCCAGATGGTGTTTAAATCTAATATACTTGGTAAAAATGGCAAAATTTCTCTACAAAAATAAATTCCAGACAATAAATCATTTACAAAAAATTTTCTTCAGTCTAAATGTGTCATGTATGACACAAGTGAATGCCATGTTTAGACTTATATGTTACCCCCATGATACAGGACTACAAGTATTTAAAACATGAAAGAACCCCAAAATCTGAATTCAGATCCCAGACATATCAGATAGGAGATATTAGACTTGTTTGCATCCATAGTTTGGACTATGAGTATCTGAATGAATTTATATGGTTATTATTAGGGAATACATAGTTCATGTACTTGAATGAAGATATAAGATATAAGGTAGATAACACTTCCATTGTATCAAGTGTTCTCTGTACTGCCAGCTCCTGAATAACAACCCAGAGACTTACTGTTAATTGTGAAAGTTGGGCCTTAGCACTTATAACTTAAAAACTGATTTATTTTAATCTATGTTCTGTTATGTGGCTTGTTACCCCATCTCTCTGTACTGCTTATGCTGCTTGCTCCCTGTCTGGCTTGCCACCCTCCTTTCTTCTTCTCTGAGTCCTCTCTGTCCCCAGAAGTTCATCTAACCTCTTCTTGCCTAGCTCTTGGCCATTCAGCTCTTTATTGATCCATTACAGTGAAACAGTGTGTAAAGGAATAGTCTGCAGCATTCCCTCACATCGAGAGGAGTGGTTCTCAGTCTGTGAATCGCAACCACTTTGAGGTCAGACATCAGATATTCTGCATATCAGATACATTTATTGCAATTCATAACAGTAGCAAGATTGCAGTAATGAAGTAATTTCATGGTTGGGGGGTCACCACAACATGAGGAAATATATTAGAGTCTCAGCATTAGGAAGGTTGAGAGCCCCTGGTCTAGAGTAGCTGAAGAAAGTCATGATATGATAGAGGATGGAATTTAGTCAGCAAGTATAACAGCTAGATTTAGAATATATGGGCATTTAATTTGTGATCCAGATGCATAGTGGATCATGAGGATGCAAATACTAGGGATAGGGATAGGATTGTCCACAGCTCTCATTTAGTCTCCTCATTTGTCTCAGAGTAGGAAGCAAGGCCTTATGCTAAGTGAATAGAGGAAGAAACTGAGGTTACATATCCAGGAAAACATACAAAATTTTCTCTTAGAGATTAGTGCAGTTTATACAAAGATTGTAATAAGAAATTGTCTGGTGTCAGTAAGGGTCACCTTGAGATTTTTATGGTTGGAATTTAGTGTGTGATATTAAGTGGCCTTTTTTTTATAGCTATATTCAATTTAGGTATAAGTAGTTAACAGAGTATTGGAGTCAGTTAGCTTTCATTTTACTAAAGAAGTACAGTAGTTTAAGAAGTAATAATAAAATAGCCTGAGAAGAGAATATGTACAATATTAGTAATAAAAAATAGAAATCTTGTTCAATTAAGGTGACTTAACAAGTGATTTGGTTTTTTATTACATTTTTTATTGCTCTACCTAAAGGCATTGACAAGACTCCATCAACTGAAACTTCTAGGTCATACTTTAGTTGTTGAATTTGCAAAAGAACAAGATCGAGTTCATTCCCCATGTCCCACCTCAAATACAGAGAAAAAGAAAAGGTATGTAGATGTTCAAGTTTTTCTACCATTTTGAAAAGTGCCTGTGTGTATGTTCAATCATTTCTATAGTTATTGCATTGTTGACAGACAAAGTAAGTTGAGATCATGATAAAATGTTGCTCTAGTAAATCTGAAAAGTGTTTCCGTTTCGAGTTGTGCTGAGGACTGAGCCTTGAAAGATAACAAATATGTAGTATGAATTCTCTTTGGTCTTAATAAAAAAATACTAGGAGTCAGCTTTCAGGGGGAAAGCTGAAGGATCAGAGAAGCAGAGCTGCCAGTCACTAGAATTCTTACCTCTACCAATGCTCAGACCAAAGGGGTGATCCTGTCCTCAGACTACCTCCTCACACTACATCCTCAGACTGCCTGCTTCCTCAGACTGCTTCAGCCTGACTGCTGCTCAGACTGCCTGCCTCAGAATACATTTCTCTCTTGTCTCCTCCCCCTCAGAGCTCAGGAAATCATGCAGAAGAGGTGATGGAAGATGGTAGGAGGCCAGGGAGAAATGAAGGAGAGCACAGCACCCATAATAAATTAAGCAGGGCTCATATAGACTCAATACATGTTATGGTTGTTAGCTTGCTGTTTTTTGTGAGACTCCTAACTGGGTGTGGCGATATCTCTGACTCTTTCATCTGCTCTTGGGACCTTTTTCCTACTACTGGGCTGCCATGTCCAACTTCTATATAATAGTTTTTCCTTCATCCTTATTATATTTTGTCATGTTTGGTCATTAACTCTTAAAGCCTATTCTTTTCTTTTCTAATGAAAAACAGAAAGGGAGCAGATACAGAGGGGAGAGGAAGTGGAGGAGCTAGGAGGAGTAGAAGGAAGGGAAACTAATTAGAATATATTGTATGAGAAAAAAAAAGCTATTTTCAATAAGAGAGAGAAAAAAATGAAAGAGCAATGTTTTAGTTCCAAGCCTAGCCTTTGCAAAGTTTATTACACTAGTTGACCCATCCCAGGTCTTTTAATGCAAGACTCAATCTTATTTAAATCAGAAATTTAACAGATGAAGGTGAAAGAGGTAAAGTCCTGCACAGGTTTGTAGTTTTGTGTGTAGATGAACATTAAAAAGTTTTCAGTTTCTCAATACCTGTGTAATATAACATGAATTTTAGTTTTTGAGGGATCATTTGGATTTGCCACACCGTGTTCATAAACTGGCTGTGAAATCTAAGTGGAGGGATTAAGTAGAGTTTCATTATGTTCTTCCTTTTCATTGGTGCTTGTTTGTGAAGTTCTTTCTAATGAAACTGATTTCATAATGACATATTTGAAAAGATTTTTCTTCTCTGTCTACAGTTTCTCACTTTCCAAAGATAATGTCACTCGTGATTCTGTCTGTTTTAGGTCGGATGATGTGGAAGATGATAAAGAGAAGAAAGAACCTGATATTTTAACAATAGAAAATGGAATTGCACCAAATCATGGGTTTGCATTTTTGTTATTTTTTTTTATTCTGCCTTTGTTGCTTTGTGTGTGTGTGTGTGTTACATATTTTAAGATAATTTTTAAAGTCAGCTTTTTAATATGTCATGTATAATTTAATATTTTGAATAAATGTTTGGAGTTATGAGTTCTTTTTCCACTGAATTTAATAAGTCTGCTGAAGTGTTCAGATCTGTAAGTGAACTCTGATAAGAAATACTTCCATTCTCTTTAAGGTAATAGAAATATTAAGGAATAAGACAAATACATGACTATTGTATCATTTTGGCAGTTTTGTGTTAATAGATAATCTAAAATAAGCTACTAATATGAAATTATTAAAATGTAATTAGCATATTCCTTAATTCATTTTGTTTTTGTAGGCTGACTTTTCCTCTAAATTCATGCCTCAAATATATGTACCCACCACCTTCAAGCACAATCCTTGCAAATATAGTAAATGCCCTGGCAAGCGTGCCTAAATTCTATGTACAGGTATGCAGATCAACTTAACTTTTGCTTATATTATGAGATTTATAACTTGGTACTTTAGATACTGTGCTGATGCTTGTAACATATTTATACCACAGGAAGCTTACTAATCCCAGACAGTGTTTTTTGTAGTTTTTTAAATGTGATGAATTATCACATGTTACTCTTAAGTAATAACTTCATAAATACTGTGAATGGATACTAATAGAGTGCTACATTGGAAGATGTAATTTGTTATAACTGTTACTTGAGTATAGCACTGACTTATAGAATTCTTAAAGAAAAGATACTGGTTCAGCACATGATTTAAAAACTTGAAGGTAATATGTTACTTCTCAGAATTATAGAATATAGATGGTGTATATTTTCTGTTGTCTTTATTTCACAGTCTCACAGTAAACAAGAACAATTATATGAGAACATTTTCAGTAGGATTTTACATTGCAAGACCATTATATTCTTAGTAATAGGAATTAAAAATCAATGTATTTGTAGAAATGACAAATAATGTAGGAGGATTAAGTTTCTGAGATGTACAGGTGCCTTGTTTTTTCTTGGTATAAGAACTATGAAGGCCAGAGAGTGACTTTGGTTTTCACTACAGTAATCAAGAGTATTTTTACATGCTAGGTGTAGTAGTAGTACAGACCTTAAATTACAGCTCTCAGAGGGCAGAGGCAGGAGGATCTCTGAGTGAAGGTCAGCCTGGTCTATGTAGTGAGACTTTATGTCAAAACAAAAATATTTTTCCAAAAAGTTTTTTATTATATAAAATATATGAGATTAACCATGACATCAATTCTATGTGACTTTTAAATATTTTGCAACTTTAAGGTGCTTCATCTTATGAATAAAATGAATTTGCCCACACCATTTGGACCTATTACTGCACGACCCCCAATGGTAAGAAGTTTTTAGAATTTTTAGGAGCCATAGTTTTCTTTTCCTAGGTAGTAAATTTTACCAGTTTGTGACAACTTTCGACATGTTAGTAATAAAGTTGAGAACTGAGAATGGAAGAAATTGAGAATTACTTTCATTTAATAAAACCAAAATTTCTTCCAGTTTTCTGTCCTTTGATTCCAAATATTATCCTGTAAATATAATTGTGTTCAATTGAATTTTCTAAAAATTCATTGTTGTGGTTTTTGATTCAGATACAGTTAGCTTCATTTGGAAAGGATAAGTAAGTTTGCTAGAAGTTGTTCAATAATTTACATAGTAGACTGTCAGCTCTTAAGGTTATTTCACTGTGGTATTCTATATTTATCAGTAATATTAATGCAAAATTATTTTGGTTTCTATCATACAGATAAAAGAGTTTCCTTTGGAGTTGGCTACTATTCTGTTGTATGAAAAAAAATTAGTTTTCTAACTGTTTATTGTAACACCACCATGTACTTGTTGCTTAGACATTTATTAAAGTAATATTAGATACTACTAATATGGAAAATTGTATTGCCATGGCTATTCCATTTCAAATAATAGGGAAGGAGGGATATTTTGAGTCATTCATAAGAACCAAGTTGTCATTATGTGTCTTTTCATGCTGATTAGGACACACTGTAGATCAAAAACAAAGGGAGGATTACATGTAGGCTTTTTATGCTTTTATTCCATGAGATAATTCGCATTGTGAAATACAAAGTATATTTCCAAGTTTTGTATAGTTAGATGGCTAGGGAATATAGAAAACAAAACTGTTATCATCTAGCAGTCTGCCATCGCAGATGTTCTATTAGTGTATAATGAATATATCAAAGAAGAGAAAGAGAATCAAGTCTTTATGTGGGATAGGATTCTGTTGATGAGAATCATTTATGCAAAATAGTTTGTTCCGTAAATATCATTAGTTTCTATAGTGTTTGTTTTGTTCTTTCAAATAGTATGAGGACTATATGCCACTGCATGCACCCCTTCCGCCTACATCACCTCAACCACCCGAGGAACCTCCCTTACCAGATGAGGATGAGGATTTATCTAGTAAAGAATCAGAGTATGAAAGCAGTGATGAAGAGGACCGACAGAGGTTTGTGATATGCCATACTTATTTTCTTCCTAAGAATAAGAATGTGAAAAGGACATGCTCTTCCTATATTTCACATATATTTATTCATTATTAGAGTGCATTAATAAATTGTATCCCAAACCTCCCCAAGATCTTGAGCGTATACAGTAGCTCAGTGGATAATAGGGTCTTTGGAAAATTTTTTGGATAAAGAATAATCTTTTAGATTGATTAAATTTAGTATTACAGAATATAATTGAGCCTCATTATTTATGGTTCCATATTTGTTAAAATTTTGTAGCTCCAAAATTACCTTTTTTCTTCTTTAAAAAGAAAAATCATTTTCCTAGCTCAGAATTTTTGTTTACAAGAGCTTGTATTTATAAAGTGTTCATAGATATGAGTATAAAAAATATGCTGAAAAATTTGAGTCAGTTGACACATAGAATCCCAAATGACAAATAAAGTAATCAGTTGTTAGTCAACATACCAACATTATACTGAAGTACCTGGAAATTAACTTCTAAAAACAAATTTTGGCTCCCAGTGTAGGAAGATAGAATCCATGACCAGCCATGTTCCCATTTCTCTGGTTAAACATTCATAGCAGATCACAAACAGCACAATAGTACTCATCTTAGAACCATAAAAACAAAAGAGAAATGAAGAAATTGTGGTTCCACAACCTCTTTGAGAGTATTACCCAAGAGTTCTCAGCAGGTTCTACCATCCTGTTCTCAAATAGGTCATTGGGAAATACTTCATATTCAAATTATAGCAGGTATTCCTACCTTCTTGTTTTAACTCTCATACTAGTCATGTGTCATGTTTTTAATGGTCTAATTACATGTTTTGTTTTTCACACTTTTGTTTTATTACTAATTAATATATTCATAATGATTTTCAGTTATAAAGTATAAGTGTGGTCTAGTGATGCTAAGCCTAAGAAAACTATACCTTACAGAGAAAATTGGGCCAAAGTTGTAATAGTACTGAATATAAGTTAAATCATTAATATTTGTTAAATAAGATGTCTCTTGCATAAAACATAGTTGTGTATTATCATTTGATCATACGCTATAAGCAGAATCTTTCATGAAGATAATACAAAGATAATTCTTTGGATGTAGTATTTTATTCATTAATTTAGTATTTGCCATGACTTCATAGAAAATAGCTTCTTAGGTAATAAGCATTTATTGAATTGATATTTTGAACAGATGATTGCCCTGTGCTCTGTTCTCTTCAGTGTGACTTCTAGAGGAATTTTGGAAGTTGTCTATGCATAACCATTCATGTTATTACTGGCATAGAATTTAAACCTACTGTGCTGCAAGAATTAGCCAAACATTGTCTTTGTAAGTTCAAAGAATAAATGCTTTTTTACTTTCTGAGTGAGGTGTGGTGTTGGTCACTTGACACAACTTAACTCAGTTCTACTCACATGGCAGGAAAGCAGCCGTATTTATACTGACTAGGTGTGCCTGTGTTCTAACAAAAGTTATATACGGAGCAGCTAGCTAGCTTGATCAACCCCTACCGTATGATAATTAATGGGAAATGATGGGAATCTTAATTATGTAAAAAGTCACATATGAAAGGAAGCATTCATATGCGTCAGGACCCAAACAGAGACTTGGAAAACATATAATCAGCAACAATTTTGCTAAGCCATTTCTCATCTAAGTAGTTACTTTCCTCTCCATGGAAAAATCAAATTGTAGGTGGGACTCAAATTACCAAGTAAGAATGTATTTGGAAGAGAGTTGTTTAGCAAAGCAGGTAGTTCTTCATGATAATCTATTTCACTACAAACTAGTAGTGATCTCTTCTGCAGCACATATACTAAAATTGGACTGATACAGAGAAAGTTAGCATAACCCCTGCTTAAGCTAAAGAGTACTATAAAATATTATATTTTGTTAGTTATCTCTTAAACAATTTAAAAATTTTTAGTAAGCTTGTAGTGCTATATAGAACTACTGTAAAAAGTAAAAGTAGTAATCCTAATTAGAAATGCTGTAATATTCTAGACCAAACCCATTTTAATTTTTGTAGCTTTCTATTTAGAAATGTAGCATGAAATTCTGCCCAAAATTCATCTTGAGTCTTAAAAGAGAACAAATCCAATTTCTAATGCATGTTTTTATTACCTTCTAGAAATAAAATAAAAATTTTAGAAATATATTTAGTTGTCAAATATTTATTAATTTCTTATTTTATGCCTGGTCTTGTTTTAGAAGGTTGCTATATTTTGGGTAGACGATTTTAATACAGGCATGTGGTTGAATAGTCAAATGTTTGTATTTTTAATAACATTTTTGTTGTGTTTGCTTTGGGGAATTCTAGAAACAGTCCCACTCTTTAGCCTAGCTGCCAGGAATTTGCTATATATACCAGGCCAACTTTGAAATCTTGCTTTCTCTGTTCCCTGGGTGCTGGTTTACAAGTGTGTGCTACCCTGATCAGCTTTTTAATACAAGTTTTTATGAGACTTGATTGTTGTGAAATTTCCTACTATGTAGTGTATGCTTATACTTCCACCTGTTTATTGGGGGGGGGAGCCTAACATTTTTAGCCACATCCTCCTGTCTATATAATGAAGCCCTCAAATATTTGTACCTAGTTGTTTTTAACTGCTCCTTTGTGACAGATACCAAAATATCCAAGCCCAGAGTCATAATGGAAGGAAGTTGTATATGAGATGCCATTTGTCAGTTTCTAACTGTTACTTGTAAGCAACTTTAGTATTTGGAAACTTTTTTTTTCTCAAATAAATGTGACAGAGAAATTAATAAACATGGTGATGCTGATGAGGTAATGAGAGAAATAATGATCAGAATAAAGAACTGTCTGGGCATCTAGGTATGCACAAGGAGTTTATGGAATACCATTGGGACACATAATTCAGATTCCATAGGAAAACAGGTGAATAAGACAGAATGCTTAAAAGTAGGAAGGGAAAATGTTCTGGATTTTTGTTTCATTGTTTTGTAAGGATACACCACAATAATAATAAAACCCAGGCTCTCTAGTGACTTTGTGTAAATATTTAAAATATGTTTTTATCAATTATATAAATATTACAAAAATAAAAAATTAGAAATATAAATCAATATATAGAAACATTCTTCAAGCATTAGTTTATTATTATTTAGTATTTAGAAGCTGTTCCTCAAGTAGTCACTTTGTTTATACAATGATTTATTAGTAATAAATATGTATAAAATACTTTTCAAAGAAATGCTTAGTTCTCTTTAGTAATTAAAATAAAGGCCAGAAATAATAGAATATATTTTTTTATATTTAGTTTTTTTATTTACTCAGTTTTATGCCATTTTATTTGGATATCTAATACTCATAATGAAAAGTTTTATATTGATAATATAAAATCAGGGAAATGTTTTAAAAATATGAAATAAAGGGTACAGGTCAATTTAGGATGTGAATTTTGGTCAAATTGATGATGCCTATTGGTGGCTTAAAGTTATCCTAATTAATTTTAAATATATTTTGTATTAAAGATATAAACCACATTTTTAGAATATCAACTCTTGTTTACCTCCCCTTTCTTAATAGAATGAACAAATTGATGGAACTAGCAAATCTTCAGCCCAAAAGACCCAAACCTACAAAGCCACGCCAAGTGAGAAAAAAGCGAAAAATAAAGGATATGTTGAATATACCTTCATCAGCTTCACATAGGTAGTTTTGTGTATATTTATGAAATGAAGCTTGTTTGTATGTGCTTTGTTTATTCACTTAACTCAGATTATTCTCCAGTCTGGCAGTTTGTCATTTGATTTGGTTGATTACTGGATTTCTGTTTGCCAAACTTAAAACGTTTTCCAAATTCTGATTGTTTACCAGCATTTGTTAAAACTCAGTATACATTTCACATTATCATCTTTTCTCTTATTAGGCATATTTGCTGCTTCTTACTAGTGATTGCAATTTTAACTTCATTTAACTTCTGCAAGTTAACTTAATAGAAATAATCTTAGGTATAAATTATGACACCTTAACCTCCTTCTGTTGTTGAAATGGCAGTACCATGCTTTTAATTCTTATAGCAGTGCTAAATAGTAAGCTACATTTTCTAGTAGTTGTACTACACAGTAAAAATGAGCAAATCAAGGCCAATAATGATACTTATTTAATTCATTATATTCAAAATACTATTTCATCATAAATGTATAAAATGTTATTGAGCAGTTAAGACATTTTTCTTTATAGAAATTCACCAGTTACATGTAGCTAGTGACTGTCAGTTGCATACCATAGCACTGATTGCAGTGTACAATATATATTGTATTAAAAACACTACCAGATGATGAAGTATATATCTGTAATCCTAGCACTTGGGAGAGGAAATGATTAGAATTTCCAAGTGATTCTCTGCTACATGTACCAAGCTTAAGCCTGTGTTAAATGGGCTGGCAAGGTGGTTTTAATAGTAAAGGTTCCTGTGGCCACTGGTAGTGATTAGAGTTTGATCCTAAATATCTATATGGTGGAAGGAAAGAATTGTCTACCACAGTTTGTCTTCTGACTAAAAATGTTCCCCACCACACATGCAAAATAAATGTCAAATAAATAAAAGATATTCTTTTATACTTGACTGAACAAATGCACACCTCCCTGTCCCTTGGAAATCTGCTGCTTGAAATGAATAGTAAGTCTTAACTTTTTCACTTACCAAATGGCTTTATTTAATCTTTGAATATCCTTTAACCTCAGTTTCCTTATCTGTAAATTAGGTGTTTAACAATACTATTACCAACTGTTGAACTTCATTGGACTACTAAATCTAGACACTTTGTGCAGTGCCTAAAATGGAGAGAATGTCTTACCATCATGAACTTTTTAAATTTAAAGAAAATTTGAAGTAATGTTTGTAGAATTTTATTTTAAATTATAATCTTATATTGTAATTGTTTATGCATACCAGTTTGCATCCTGTGCTGTTACCGTCAGATGTATTTGACCAACCACAACCTGTAGGCAATAAAAAAATTGAGTTCAATATATCTACCAACATGCCTGCAGCACTTAAGAAAGATTTGGAGAAGGAACAGAATAACGAGGAAAAAAATTCTGGTAAGAAAAATTTAGTTATTTCATACACTTAGCAACTTTTTTATGTTAAAAATCAAATTTTATAGTGGTGTTTGTCAGCTCTACTTAAAGTAGGTGGTTACAGACTGAGGCTGTAGATCACTTAGTAGAAAGTGTGAATGGAACTCTGGGTTTAGTCCCTAGTACTTCATAAACAGAGTGTGGTAATACAACTTTGTAATTCCAATGCTTGGGAAGCAGAGGCAGGAGAATCAGAAGTTCGGGGACATTTTTGGCTAATGGTTGGAGGACAGCCTGGAAAAAATGAGACTCTATCTGAAATAGAAAATTAGTGTAGATATAGTTAGGTGAATCTCAGTATCTCGATTTCAGCTCTTACCCAAATAAAATTTAGGCTACTGATAACATCTACATAAAATTTCAGGGTTTTACTGATTTTAGTGCAGATAATAATATATTTTTTTATATTAACAACCTTTCATTACCTGGCATATTTTGTTCTATGATTGTTTTTCCCCATTTTTTGCCATTTATATATTTTTAATTGAACATTTTATTGATTTATTTTAAATATCAGCCACAGTTTCTTTTCCCTCCTCCCATTCCCTCTTCCTACCTCTTTTCTTACCCCCCCCATCCACTTCTCCTCTGTCTCCCTTCAGAAGGGGTCTCAACAAAGCATCGCATATCAGTATTCAATGATTATTAACAGAAGTGTATAGTGTTTTAGGAAGCAAGCCATGCTACTATCCTGAAGTTGTAGATTTCTTACACACACACACACACATTTTACCTAAAAGTCACAGAGGATTAATACATTATAACGCTTTGTTTAAACTGTTAACTTGTTAGGAGCAGTAACATTTTTTTGTCTAAAAGAATCATTTTTATTTAGGTATGTGTGTGTATTTGTGAAGTCATATGGACACTTGACTGTGCAGCTGCCTGCCAAGGCCAGCATAGGGCACTGGAACTCCTGGAGTGGAGTTACAGGGTGTGAACCATCTGTGTGGTGTGTTGGGGAACTGAATTCTGTACCTCTGCAAGAGCAATATATGCTTTTAACCACTGAGCTATCTGTCAGGCTTCATGATGACATTCTTTAAATATATGATTCAGAAGTAATATAAGCTGTTAGAATTTTTTGAATCACAACAAAATTCATAAAGTAGAATTTTTTAAAAGTTTAATGTTATCAAATTTGTCCTTTTGCTTCTACAAGGGTGACTAATTTGTAATTGTCTTTGTGTATGTTATTCTATTCTCTGTGCTCTGAGCTTTGTGTTACTAACAGAATACCTCATATGACCTTGAAAAGGATACATTTATTTGCGTCACAGTTTTAGAAGGGCAGCCCTGTTACTTTGGGGCCTATGAAAAAGCATATGACAGAAAAAAAGCTATCTACTTCAAAGTATCCAGGAAGCAAAACGTGTATGAAGTATCAAGAGACTAGTATCCTAAAACTCAAGACTTTCAAGTATCCTTCAAGACCTTATGTGAAGACTTTCCACTGGACACATCTCGTAAAGTTTCAAATCATCTCACAATATTGCTATGTCAGAGATTAAGCCTTTAATACAAGGTCCTATAGGAGGCATTCCAGATTTAAAATGCTGCATCTTACAAAATATGTTTGTTTCTCTTGCTGGAATTACATAGTAAGCTTTAATCAACAACCTTTAGAATTTACAGAATAGCTTACTGGACTAGAATAAACAACATATAAAACCTTTATTGCTGAGTGATAGTTCATAGCATAATCATATTACTATTTAATTGTAGCTCTTACACTTTGGGATTTTTCTTATACTAAAGATGTGTATGTTACTTGTGTGTATGTGTACTTGTCAGTGTAAGTACATGCTCACTTGAGTGTGGTTACACGCAGTGCCAGAAAAGAACATCTGTCCTCTTCTATCTCTCAACCTGTCCTCTGAGTCAGGGTCTTCCCCCAAGCCTGAGGTTCTGGTCTTTGCTAAGCTGGAAAGAGCAGTGTCCTGCTGCTGTCACCCCCTATGAGCTGGGGTTACAAATGCCTGGTTTGTTACTTAGGTGCTAGAATCCAAGCACCTAGATGATTGATCTTCATAGTTTTAGGGCAAGCACTCTTACCCACTGAGCATTTCCTACCTCAATTCTTTGTAACTTGTTAGAGTAATTACTAGATTATATGTCTCGTTGCATGGTTGATTACTTTTGTAAATAAAGAATACTAGTAAGGATTACGTGTATGTAGTGAGTGCACTTTAATTCCTGTTCCTTTTCTTCTTTCCTTTTTTTGGGGCATAGTAGAAAATGATATATTTGAGTTTCCTTTATTTTTAATGTTTCTGTTTTTCATTGTTAATTTCTCATTTAATGGCTAGTCACCTTTTATTAATATTCTTTTACTATAATTGATAAATATAAATTAAACACATTTATGGGATACAGTTTTATGCTTGACTAAAACATTCTATGTTTATGAAGGGCAGGCAGTCCATCATCGCATTCTGTATCAGTGTCAAAGCTTGTAATGTCAGATAGTGGAAATATGACATCATCTTGCTGTTTATACTTTTAGACTGTAGATATTCTATCTGAATAATGGATTTTCTACATTAAGACTTTTATAATCTTAAATGTAACATGTTTTGTATCATTTCCCCATCTAACTTTTGAGTTTCCCCTGTTTACTTTTATTTATTTGAAGGAGTTCTGGTAGTACTTAACCCTATTCATTCAACATTTTTTGCCAGTTCTAGTCAGATACTGCTAATGCTAAAATTCATATTTTTAAATTTTAGTATGTTGCTATCTAAAGTAAATAGTTAACTTGAAAAATACTTAGCTAATTTAAGTGTGAAATACTTGTCTATGAAGGATGATCATTATTACCTCTTTTTCCTGGAGTCATAGGGCGGTTAATGGAATGTTTTTGTATCTCCAAATGGAATTTTGTTTTTTGTTTTCATTTCAGCCTAACATGTTGACCCAAATCTTTTATGATGAAAGGAGTAAATTGACTAACAATATTCTGATGCTGGAATATGAAATTCATTGTAGATTTTCTTGAATCACTGTATTTGGTTAGAATACTATTAGTTTTACAATTTAACTAATTACACATTTATTTTAAAATATAGTTATTACTGTTTCAGAGTTGGTAGGTTAAACAATCAATTGCTACATACCAATATACACACTCCTAACTAACATTGAGCATTTTTATCAGATTCCCATTTATACATTGAACTGAGTGTACTAAAGCTTAATTCCTTTTCTTCCCTCTTTGTCCCTTAACTACCACTTCAAAATAAGCATTTGTCTCTTTAGCTGTTAGCTGCCTTCATGCTACAATACAGAACTGAATTCTCAAAACCAGAGTCTTGTCTTGGCCCACAAAACCCTAAAATACTATTCTTTGGACATTTATAGGAAAGATTGGCCTGCTTTTGTTTTGAGATACCGAGAAACATTAAAAATTACCAAATGATACTTTTGTAATTTGTAAATAGAAAGGTAAAAGAAACTTAAAATATGTTTTGAACATGAGGTTTATTTTTTTGGGGGGGCTTTGTTTTACTTTGTTTTTTCTTATGACTTATGTTGAACTCTTAGATTCACCAGATACTGGACTTGATGATTCAAATACAGGATTTGGAAAAATCTTCCCCAAACCTAATTTGAATATCACAGAAGAGATTAAAGATGATTCTGATGAAATGCCTTCACAATGTATTTCCAGAAGGGAGTTGGAAAAGGGTCGAATTTCTAGAGAAGGTAAATATAATGAGATAAGTCAACTCATAGTCCATTTTATATTTTTTGTTCTACTTCTATTTTTCATGTTTTATTGAAATTAGAACTCCCTATGGGTCATTTACATTAAGATAGACACTTTAGTGTCTCTATAATTAGTTTATTGATACTTCTTTCTTCTTTTAAAAACTCATCTCCTACTTGAAAAGTTCCATACCATGCAGTGTTTGCAGTAAACATTTGCAATAATCAATAAGTTCAGCAAGTCTGACGCTATGTATTCTGTATATAAAAGAGTTCACAAATCATTATCATACAATATCTAAAGTAGATACAAGGTGATTATTAAAATGTTGGTGATTAGAAATCTGAATTTAGGATTTTATATCCCAACATTATTCTTTAGCTTAATTTTTTTCATATATTTTAATCATTTTCTATTTGACAAAATTCTAGGACCAAGGCAACTTACACAAGAAGCATTTAATTGGGTTCATGTTTTAGAGCATTAGAGTCCATAATGGCAGAACAAAGACATCATGGTAGGAACAGTTGAATGTTCGTGTTGTGATCCTCAAGCTGTAGGAAGAAAGAGCATGCTAGGAATGGTACTTGTCCTTAGAAATCTCAGAGCCTGCTCCCAGTGACCTCCTCCTCCAAGGTCATACCTCCTAATCCTTCCCAAACAATTCTACTAATGGGGATCAAGTATTCAAACACAGGAGCACTTATGCCCCATTCATATTCAGACCACCACACGCTAAAGGATTTTTTATTGTTTTAGCATTTACTTTTTAATTTAATGATTTGTCATTGTTGTTACTAACACATTTCTCCACAATAATGAGGAATCAGCCTCCAGTTAAAATCTAGTTTCCCAAAACATAACCGGCAGTAAATATGAGGAACTGTAAAGGGTTTTGGAGACCGATGTCTGAAATTCCTGCCTGTTAATTTTTTAATGTATTATTGCTGCATTTGAGTATGACAGTGACTAGTGATTTGGCAAATACATTTTAAGCAGAATAGTTACATAAATGGTTCTAAAATCATATATTTAGCATTTTTAATAAAGTGGCTCCTCTTAAAGCACCCTTAACCTGATTTGGGGACAAATCTTAATTCTATATAATTGGGACCTTTGAAGCAAAAGTTCATTTTTTATATAATTCTTTTAGATTTTAATGAATATTTCTATTTGAGTAATATTGTTACTGTTATCTTTCATAAAGCTTATTTTTGCCTTCTTAGAATTTATAATTGAATGGTATAATTTTATTTCAAAAATTGCTAATGGTTTTTTATTGTATATCTTTGTTTTGCTTTGTTCTTAAAAAGAAATGGAAACCCTTTCAGTTTTCAGAAGTTATGAACCTGGTGAACCAAACTGCCGAATTTATGTAAAGAATTTAGCTAGACATGTTCAAGAAAAGGTAAGTTGAAATTTGCAATTTGATTTTGTTATTTTACTTTTTTCCCTGGTTTTCTTATTTGTCTACTTTTCTTACCTTTTTTTTCTTTATTAATTTCAAATTCTAGGATCTTAAATTTATATTTGGAAGATATGTTGACTTTTCTTCAGAAACACAGCGGATAATGTAAGTGGCAACCATAATCTCAAGTTATGTTTTATCTGTTACAAATTGACCATGTTTTGTTATGCTTGATTTTTTTTTCTTTATTGCTAAAAACCACATGAATCATTTGTTCTCTTACTTAAGTGTCTTTTTAGACATCTACACCAGGAATAGATGAATTTCTATATAAATGAGCAAATACCATTTTTAATGTTTTAAATCAGATCATATTTATTGCAACTGCTCAATTTTTCCCATTATGGAAACTTACATAAGCTGTATATAAAGAAATGTTTATTGTTATATTCTATTAAATATTTATATATACATGTCTTCTAATAAGTTTTATCTGAAACCCTTTGACACTAAAGTATTGTTACTCAACTTTTTTTCTTTTTTTTTAAACATTACCTGAGAACTACCTGGAAAGCTTGGTTCTATAGTTTTGTTAACCCATCTCTAAAGATAGGTTTTCTAGTTGGATCAGAGCTCATGAATTTGCATTTCTAAAAATGATATTAACTATTTAATTTTATCTTATTGCTAAGTGAAACCAATACTTTTAAAATCTTACCTGTCCATTGTGTCTTTGGATATATTTTATGTTCATATTTGCAAAATGTATATTGTTAAGATTATATTTTCAGTTAATGAAGTTTAAAAAATTTTCACTGCAAAAAAATTTGCAGTGCATTCTCACTGTGTACGTGTGTGTTCACAAATATACGTAGGTGGGTGGTTATACCTGCTTATGTGTGTTTGCACCTCTGTGTCCATCACATACCTTTTTTTTTTTTTTTTTTTTTTTTTTGCCTGAATTAAGTGTCTTTATTGGTCTAATACTCTTAAGTTGTGAAGGTGGCTAGTCTGGCTGTGCAGTAAATCAGGTGCAATCTGTTTCTATCTCCCTACTTGTGCATGCATTACCATGCCCTGTTAGTTAGTTTGGTTTGTTTGTTTTCATGAGAGTTTATGGGACTGAATGCGGGTTCTTTGGTTTTTCGAGACAGGGTTTCTCTGTGGTTTTAGGAAGCTGTCCTGGAACTAGCTCTTGCAGACCAGGCTGGATTGAACACACAGAGATTCACCTGCCTCTGCCCCCTGAGTGCTGGGATTAAAGGTGTGTGCACCTACCACCCGGCTTGAAATTGGGTTCTTTTGCAAGCAAATTATGCACGTTTCCAGCTGTGCTGTTACTGGCCCTATCAGTTGATACTGTATGTTTTGGAGGTTTAAAATACTAGATCATATTTTCATTGTAACTTGCAATCTATTTTTATAAATAGATTTTAAAACCAGCTTTCTCTAAAAGATGTTTATATGATTTTAATGTACAATAATAAGATATTGTAGAAGTAGACTGGGAATAATGTGTGGCTTTAATCCCTATGCATGCACGAATCATTCTGTGTCACATACCACTAATAAAATGTGTATCTGCCATTAAAGTCTGTAAATACTTATTAATGTAAAATCAACAGTGCAAACCAATTACTTGTTTTCTCCTAGCCTTCTTTTTTTTAAATCATTTGAATATATAATATTGAACTCACTGCAAGATGTGAGAAAAAAAATAATTAAAAAATTTTAGTCTGCTTTGTTGATAGTATAACTCTAATAGAATCCTGGATCATAGGACAATAACAAACTAAGAGTTCGCTTTTATCCTTGCTAGTGATACAACTTAAAGTTATGATCATAGCATAATTGTTGCTTGTTAAGAACAATACATAATAGAATTTTAGGATATCTTAATTCCCAGAATTTTCTAATAGTTCTGTTGTTACTTTGAAATGGAAAAATTTTGGATTAAGACCTTTGACTTACTGTTAATGTTCTTTAAGTCATAAATTACTTTTTTATTATTATTATTTACTTCTAGGTTTGATATTCGCTTGATGAAAGAAGGACGCATGAAAGGACAAGCTTTTGTTGGACTTCCAAATGAGAAAGCAGCAGCTAAAGCCTTAAAAGAAGCTAATGGCTATGTTCTTTTTGGAAAACCCATGGTGGTTGTATCCTTTAAACTAATCCATTGTAACAACACCTTGTTGTTTTTAGCAGTGGGGTATATATATAAATAATTTCAAGTTATTTATAATACCAACAATTGTTATTCAGAGTTGTTACTTAGCTCAATCAGATGACAGCTTTTCTTAGTCATTTATTGGAAAATTATATAACTTCAGCAATGTAAGGGAAAGTTCAGACAACTTTATACATTTATTCAGCTCTAAATTATTTCTTCATGTTAAGGTCAAGACATACTATCTAGAAATACACTTGGAGTCACTGAAAGGGATTCCACTGTAGTTTTATTGTAATTCACATTTCTGCTTTTGTATTTCAGTGGCCAGAATATATTATTGCATAACTGTCTTGTATTAAACAAGTTTTAAATTAGATATTAGTGAGGGTACAGATAAGAAAAGTGACAGTTATAAAGAAGGGCAGATATTTTTTTCATTTTCTTTCAATTTGTGAATATTATGCAAGAGTTAGGAAAGATAATTTTAGTGCTATTTTCTATTCTGTACTAGATAATAGGACTGCATAGTTTTTATTTTTATATGGTAGATCTTAATGACAAATCATGTTTGCATTCATGATGGAAGCCTTAATTTTAATGCATTAGCAGTTTGCTCGATCTGCTAGACCAAAACAAGACTCTAAAGAAGGAAAACGGAAGTGATAGGAATGGAGAAAGGTAAGTGTGGAGAAAATGGTAAAAGATAAGAGTAAAAATAAGGAAGCATAAAAGTCTTTGGGGGTGCTATTTCAGAAATATTTTATGAGTTTTTAAGAAAATTTCTGTGGATGGAGTTCATTAACTTCAAAATTATAACAAGAATAAAACCAGTTTGTGTGTAATAATTTTAGAGAATTTCATATAGTTTATAGAGGGAAATGTATTGGTTGTTAACTTTGTATGTTTCCTTCATGATGATGTCTTTAATTCTTAATCTGTGTTGTAATCACTTGGAGAGCTTGCTAAAAACAGGTTGCTGGTCCTTTCCTCCAAGAGTTTCTGTGCCAGTAGTTCTGAGGTGGGTGACAGGTAGTCCCATTTATCCTGTGATTAAAGAATTTCTCAGCATGCAGTAATTGCAATGCTGAAAGGGACAGTATCTGAAAAGCCAGAAGCAGTTGGGTATTCTTACTGCCATTGGACCAATTGCACAATCATTGAGTTCATAGATGACAGTGAGTGTTTAGTCTAGGGACCACACTGAAAACTGAAGGAAAATAGTTACTGAAATTCTACAGTGCTATGTATTTAGAATGATTAGCATTCTTTGTAAACATAGGGATTATGGCATAATTTATTTGGAACACATTCATAACCTACCTAAGTGAATAAATGATTTCAAATGGTTGAGTTAAAGATTTTAAATTAAATTATGATACTTTGAGAAATGAGTAGATGTTTTTTTGGGATGTGAGTTAGAGAAATTTTAGTTTCAGTTTTTCTACTCTTAGAACTTGGAAGAACATGAAAATAATTGGTCAAAATTGCTATTTAGGTGGGAAAAAATCCATCAAATTAGAGAGATCTGATTCCTATTTAATATGAGTTTTTGGGAGTATTTAAGCTTGTTTTCAAGACAGATGTCTCATAAATACTGTACAGGAAAAATGAAGTATTTCAGTCTCTATTTTAGTAGATCATTTATAAATTTATTGCTACCAATTAGAAAAAAATAAACTACATTCTGCTGTTCTTCCTTAGAAGCATTCCTGCGTAAATACTGCTGTAATACTGTCATACAAGTGTATCCTTTCTTGTCGTATCCTTTTGGGGGCAGTGGTTTTGCTTTGTCTTTTTTTTTTTGTTTGTTTGTTTTTTAGAAATGCTGTCTACCCTCTATCATTTATCCAGATTAAGCAATAATTTTTATATTTATATTTTATTCAAAAGAAATATTTCTCAGATTAGTTTATAGCCTGAACAAATATTTTACATGTACTTTATATTCACTGTTTAATTTTCTATGCTATCATATAACTAAGGAGTTTTTTTCAGGGAAAGTTAGTGAATCAGGTCACTTAATGTATACATATGCTTTACTACAGAGTATGGTAGTATATCTTCTACACGTGAATTTCCTCAACATCTTTCAGGAACATGCTTTCTGCTTCATGGTATATCCCATCTAAGTGTCTTCTAGTTTAATTTTTGTTGCTGTGACAAATACTTTGACAAAAAGCAACTTGGGGAAGAAAGGGATTATTTGTTTCATAATTCCAAGTTACAGTTTATTGTTGTGGGGAAGTTAAGACAGGAATTTAAAGTATAGTATCCACAGTTGAGCAGAGAGAGATTAAATCCATAGAACCTTGCCTGCTTAGTCTGAGCTAGCTTTTTCCTATTAAACTGTTCAGGGTCCCCTTTCCTATAGAATGGGGCTAACCAAAATTGGCTGTATAAGACACAGCCAAGATCATATTATGCCCACAGACCAACATACTCTGGATAATGCTTAACTGTTCTCCCAGGTGATTCAGTGTAGTGTTAAGTTGTCAATTAAAGCTATTCAGCACAGTTGTTCTATATAACATGTTCTAAAATTTGACTGGGAAAAGATCTTTTTTCCTTTAGTAGTAAGTATATTGAAAACTAGTAAGAGTTATATAAAAATCTCACAATAGAGTAAAAGATAGCACTTTGAAAGTGTAACTGAAATGTCTTGACCAGTGGAAGAATTTCCTTTACCGTTGGTCTTTTCAAAACAAAAATAAAAATTCAATAATTAAATTTAAATATATATATATATAATTTGGATACAAATATATATAAGTTTAAAAAGAGTAACATATAAGACATGTTACACTTCAGATAGCTTAGTAAATTAACTTCTAAAAATAAGCACAATGATTCCAGGCTGTATAATGACTAGAATCTCTCAGAACTGTCAGTCAGTCTCAAATTTTTCTGTACATTTAGATCTTAGAAGTCTAAAATATATAATAACGAATTACCCATTTTCTGTCTTAGAGTTTGATTCTAGTGTATTATTAATATAGAAGAACTACCAAGGAAGAGTTTCTATGTATAACTGTTTCTTGACTCTTATATTAGAGCTAATAAATAAATCAAAATAACTAGGAATAACACCAGTAATATAGTTTGAAAGGTTCCCTTAGTAATAGAAAGGACCCCTGACAAGTTTAGATGCTACTTTGTTAAAGTGATTGGCCTTTATGTATCAACTTAGTTATACAAATTTTTTAGTAGTAAAATAAAAATACTCAACATTTTGTGGGAAAAGTGCTTATATAAAAGATATAAAACTACTCAAAACTCTTATGTGTTACTTTAATAGAAGCTTGCCAAAATTGAGATTATATTCTCTTAATATACACAATTAAAATAGTTTAGATTTAAGCATTATAAGTAAAAATTATCAACATATATTTTGTTGTGCTGACATGATTCACTAATTTTCTGCATATAAATATTTGGGGTTCTTAAAGTTAGTGAATTGGATTATTTTTTTTAATGGACTTTTGTGATGTTTTAGGTTCCTTTTGAATTCTCTGTCTTTCAAATACTATGGACTGTGAGAGAAGACATTGGCCATCTGGACTGTGGAACTGTGCGTAACAACTTTGAAATCATTCAAAACTCACATCTTCACATTAGTGCTTGGACATATTTTATAATAGTTTGTTGCATATATAATAAATTATTTTCTTCTCAGCAGTGTCCATAATTTTTCATTACTTGTTTTATATATCTATGGAAGTGTAACTTAGCAATGAATATGAACTATCAAAATTTTTTAGTACTAGGTATACATTTTCTTTTATGATTCTTTTTATATATATTTTTTATTTTTAAATTTAAATTAGAAACAAGGTTGCTTCACATGTCAATTCCAGGTCCCTCTCCGTTTCCCTCCCCTCCTCCTGTGCCCTCCCACCAACCCCTCCAATATATCCTCATTTCCCCTCCAAGGGGGTGTCCAGCGCAGGGCATGGGCTCCCCCCCAAAAGTTCAGGATGAGAGTGCATCTCTCATTGTTGGATGGGAGTCCATAGTCCATTTGTATACCCGGGATAAATACTGATCTACTACCCAAGGCTCAATAGATTACCTAGGTCTCCTCACTGACACCCACATTCAGGGGGTTTTGATCAGTCCCATGATGGATTCCCAGGCATCAGTCTGGGATGCAAGAGCCAACCCTTGTCAGGTCAGCTGTTTCTGGGGATTAAACCAGCCCAGTCTTAACTACTTTGGTCATCAGTCCTCCCTCTCTGTCACTGGATTTCTTGAGTTCAACTCAGTGCTTAGCCGTGGGAGTCTGCCTCTGCTTCCATCATCCGCTGAATGAAGGTTCTGCTTCCCAGCCTCTCTGGCCATGGGATTGTAGGCTGGCACTCCCCAGATCTATGCCTAAAATCCATATATGAGAGAGTACATGCCATGTTTCTCTTTTTGTGACTGGGTTACCTCGCTCAGGATGGTTTCTTGTAGTATCATCCATTTGCCTGCAAATCTCAGGATTCCATTGTTTTTTTCTGCTGCATTGTACTCCATTGTGTAAATGTACCACATTTTCTCTATCAACTGTTCAGTTGAGGGGCATATAGGTTGCTTCCAAATTCTGGCTATTACAAATAATGCTGCTATGAACATAGTGGGACAGATGTCCTTGTTGTATAAATGGGCATCTTTTGGATATATGCCTAAGAGTGGAGTTGCTGGGTCTTATGGTAGATTTATTCCCATTTTTCTGAGGAATCTCCATACTGATTTCCAAAGTGGCTGTACAAGTTGGCACTCCCACCAGCAATGGAGGAGTGTTCCCCTTTCACCACATCCTCTCCAGCATAAATTGTCGTTGGTGTTTTTGATTTTAGCCATTCTGACAGGAGTGATATGGTATCTCAGAGTTGTTTAGATTTGCATTTCCCGGATGGCTAAAGATGTTGAGAACTTTCTCAAGTGCCTCTCAGCCATTTTATACTTTTCTATTGAAAATTCTCTATTTAGTTCTGTATTCCACTTTTAAATTGGATCCTTTGGTGTTTGGAGACTTGCTTCTTGAGTTCTTTGTAAATTTTGGAGATCAGCCCTCTGTCAGATGTGGGTTTAGTGAATATCTTTTCCCATTCTGTGGGCTGCCTTTTTGTCTTGCTGACTGTGTCCTTTGCCTTACAGAAGCTTCTCAGTTTCAGGAGGTCCCATTTATTAATTGTCAATCTCACTGTCTGTGATACTTGTGTTATGTTCAGGAAGCTGTCTCCTGTACCAATTCGTTCAAGGGTACCACCCACTTTCTCTTCTAAGAGGTTCACTGTGGCTGGATTTATGTTGAGGTCTTTGATCCATTTGGACTTAAGTTTTATGCATGACAATAGACATGGATCGATCCACATTCTTCTACATGCCAGCCTTCAGTTATGCCAGCACCATTTGTTAAAGATGCTTTCTTTTTTCCATTGTATATTTTTAGCTTCTTTGTCAAAGATCAGATGTTCATACATGTGTGGGTTAAAATCAGGGTTATCAATTCAATTCCATTGGTCTACCTGTCTATTTTTCTGCCAATACCAAGCTGTTTTCAGGACTATAGCTCTATGATAGAGCTTGAAGTCAGTGATGGTATGACCTGATGATTCTCTGAATTTCCTCAGAGTCTGTTGTTATGTCCCCCTTTTCATTTCTGGTTTTGTTAATTTGCATGTTCGTGCTCTGCTGTTTGGCAAGTTTGGACAAAGGTTTGTCTATCTTGTTGATTTTCTCAAAGAAACAACTCTTTATTGCATTGATTCTTTGTATTGTTTTCCTAGTTTCTACTTTATTGATTTCAGTCCTCAATTTGATTATTTCCTGGTGTCTCTCCTCCTGGGGGAGTTTGCTTCTTTGTGTTCTATAGCTTTCAGCTGTGCTGTTAATTCTCTAATATAAGTATTCTCCAGTTTCTTTATGTGAGCACATAGTGCTATAAACTTAACCCCGTAGCACTGCTTTCAAACTGTCCCATAGGTTTGGGTATGTTGTGTCTTCATTCTCATTGAATTCTAGGAAATCTTTAATTTCTTTTTTTATTTCTTCTTTCACCCAGGAATGGTACAGTTGTGCATTATTCAATTTCCATGAGTTTGTAGGATTTCTGCAATTTGTGTTGTTGTTGAATTCTAATTTTAATGCATGGTTGTCTGATAAGATGCATGGGCTATTCCAATTTTTTTGTAGCTGCTGAGGTTTGATATGTTGCCAAGTATGTGTTCGATTTTTGAGAAGATTCCATATGGTCTTGAGAAGAAGGTATGGTTTTTTTTTTCATGTGGATGAAATGTTCTATAGATGCCTGTTAATCCCAGTAGGGTCATTACTTCTATTAGACCCTTTATTTGTTGAGTTTCTATCTGGTATTCCTGTCTAGTGGTTAGAGTGGGGTGTTGAAGTCTCCCACCATAAGTGTGTGGGGCTTTATATGTGATTTAAGTTTTAGTAATGTTTCTTTTACGAACGTGGATGCCTTTGTATTTGGGGCATAGATGTTCAGGATAGAAACTTCATCTTGGTAGATTTCTTCTGTGATGAGTATGTAATGACTTCCTTCCCTTTTGATTGATTTTACTTTAAAGTCTAGTTTGTTAGATCTTAGAATTGCTACCCCTGCTTTTTTTTGGGGGGGGGGTTTTATTTGATTGGAAAATCTTTTCCCAACCTTTAACATCAGGTAATGTCTGTCTTTGAGGGTGAGGTGTATTTCTTGTATGCAGCAGAAGGATTGGTTCTGTCTTTGAATCCATTCTGTTAGCCTGTGTCTTTTTATGGGTGAGTTAAGGCCATTAATGTTGAGGGATATTAATGACCATTGATTACTCATTCTTCGTTGATTTGGAATGGTTGTTGTTGTTGGAATTATGTGTGGGATTCCACCCCTTTGTTCTTTTGGCTGTTTTAGAGTGGGATTCTCTAATGCCTATGTTTTTCTGGTTGTAGTTAACTTCCTTGGGTTGGAGTTGTCCTTCTAAAACTTTCTATAGGGCTCGGTTAGTGGATACATATTGCTTGAATCTAGTTTTGTCATGGAATATCTTATTTTCTCCATCTATAGTGATTGAGAGCTTTGCCAGGTATAGTAGTCTGGGCTGGCATCCATGGTCTCTTAGTGTTGGTAGAATATCTATCCAGGACCTTCTGGCTTTCAGAGTTTCCATGGAGAATTCAGGTGTAATTCTGATAGGTTTACCTTTATATGTTACCTGACCCTTTTCCTTAGCTGCTCTTAATATTCTTTTTGTAGTCTGTATATTTGGGGTCTAGATTATTACGTGGTGAGGGGAATTTTTTTTGTGGTCCACTCTATTTGTTGTTCTGTAAGCTTCTCGTACCTTCATTGGCATGTCTTTCTTTAGTTTGGGAAAGTTTTCTTCTATGATTTTGTTGAATATGTTTTCTGCCACTTTGAGGTGGTTTTCTTCACCTTCTTCTATACCTATTATTTTTAGGTTTGGTCTTTTCATGCTGTCCCATATTTCCTGGATGTTTTGTGTTAAGGATTTGTTGGACTTAAGATTTTCTTTGGTTGATAAATCCATTTCTCCTAGTGTAAGCAATGGGGCTGATAAAAGAAGGAAACATTGTAGAAAGGAGAGAAATATTTTGGAATTGTACATCTTGCATATAAGTAGAATGGATAGTTTAAAAAAGCAACACAAGTAGCTCATTAATCATAATCATGTGAAAGACAAATTGTCAGTCTAGAAATTTTTAGTTTGGTAGACCATATTACATTTTATTGGCATTAAGTATGTTAATTTTTGATGTTTACATGGCAAATACCTGAAAATATCATCCTAAAGGAGGAAAGATTTATTTTGTCTTATCCATACTTGCTGACTCCCATTATTTTTGGACCTATGGTGAGATAATTCAAAAATGGTTGAAGGATATTTAGAACAGAATTGCTACATCTAAGCAGACAGAAATCTTAAAGAGCCAAACTTGAAAGGGCCATGAGTAGATACGGTTGCTAAGAACAACGCACAGCGACCAGTGTTTTCCAGATAGGTCCCCTCTAAAATTTACAGTACTTCTCAAAGTAGTGCATTAAATGTTTAAGTTCTGCCAAAGTGTTATTATCATTGAATATGGGTTCAAGGTGTGAATCTAATTAAAGATAAGATTTTCCTAAATGAATATAGCAAAAGTGAAAAAAGAACAAGGATCTTGTACCTAAGAAGGATAATCCAGGGAAAGAAGTGAAAAAGAGACAGGTTGGAGGCAGACGCAGGTGGATCTGAGTTCTAGAACACTAGTGTACAAATTGATTTCCAGTACAGCCAGAGCTACACAGATAAACCCTGTCTCAACAAGCAAAAAACAAAAAAAGAGATTGAGACTATAGAAAATGATACGAATATATATAGAGATTATAATGGTACAGCTGAAGATGTGTTAGCTTTCTCTCCTAGAAATAGGAGTTGGAAATAAAGGAGGTACAAGTAGTAGGAATAGAGTAAAAATAAAAATTGGAAATATTGGAGTAATGTACATAGTAGGATGTTCAGATGAAAGTACAGTTTAGGATAATGTCAAGGTGGATTCAGGAATTATACAAAAAGAAGCAGCTAAATGGGTAAGTTATTATACTATGTAAATATTAAATATGCAGGAGGTAGTAGTTCTTAAACTAATCTTAAAAATTTTGTGTTCATGTCCTACCATGGTAATAGGAA